CCCCAAAACCCCAAAACCCCAAAACCCCAAAACCCCAAAACCCCAAAACCCCAAATTTTGTATATTTTATTGATATTTTTATTAAGAAGGTTGCCATTTTGGGAATTTTAGGATACGTTGAGAGGAGATGAGCCTGGATGGGGAGAGTGGGGATGAACTTGTGATGTGATCCGGGGGATTGGAGATTATTCTCTATTCTACAATGCTTCTTGGCCCTATTAACTATCTCAATTATATATTCTACCTCACATCTTCTTTGCAATATACTCAGTAACCTCACTTTCCATCCCCAAAACCTTTTAAAACAGTCTAAAACCTTCTCTAAACCTTCGTTTTATACTTGTTCTTACCAACATTCCTCCTATTACCTAATTCTCACATCCTTGTAGGCTATATTGCTTATCCCCTATTAGACAAATAATTTATCCCAAAATTCTAATTCTATAGAATTTTAATCACATTTCTAATCTTTTATAGGTAATGCACACTAAAAGAGACTATGACAGCCCCATTTTGATATCTAATACGTTCAGAATGGATAATTATTGAAGGAGGTACAGTTGTAAGCAAAGCCAGATAGTAAAGGGATACAAGACTTCAGGGATCCAGTAAGGCCAATCCGTTGGGTTAGAGGAGCATCATTTAGATTTTACCGTTTAACATCTTCAACAGTTAAAGCCTGAATTTTTATTTTTTCTAGGAGTATAGAAAGACCCAAATAAAACTGATAAACCTTTCAAGTAAGCTCACATAACCCAGAGTAGGAATTATCAAGGTTTTAAGTGATTCAGGAGGAACGAATATCATGAACAGTCTTGACGAAATGAAGGAGGTAGTACACTTTGCAATTATCCTTAGAGCGGCCAAGCTCAATCTCTATATTTAATACACAAGGTGATGAGGAGAATAACCTTGATGATCAGATACAAAGGCATTTAGATTACCTCAAGTCAAGGCTTAGTTCGAATCCGCTCTCAAATTATCTTAAAGATGGTGTAAATTTGCGAACTTTTTATGGCTCAAAGAAAGTAAAACCTTCATAATTTTTAGCTGGCTGCTGCTCAGAAGACAGTTAATAAAATTAGGTACAAAATTTCTAGGAAAGGGAAGGACAAACAGTCGAAGAAGACATCCAGATTTAGTCGTAAGAATTCAATCAAATAAAATTTTGGAGATCAGAAATTATTCGAAAGTCAAACCTAAGAAGATAGTGATAAGATCTGAAATCCGGACCCCACCTCTTCAAGAGAGTGGAAATGAAGGTCAGAGGAATTCAGTTGATAATGCTGCATGGAATACTTCTCAACAAAATTATTTTCCCTTCACTAGTTTCAGAAAGAGTGAGGGTGAAGTTCAATATCAACCTCTTGCTGTTAATAATCACTGTATCAACTTGGAATGAGTAGATGTATTTCCCAAAGGAAAGTTAAATACCCCTGCAAAGCAGACAAAGGAAAGTTTTTCTAGCCTGAAAAAGATCGGGCTTATGAACTCTAGAAGAACAGGTAAGTTTGAAGATATAAGCCCTACAGCCAGAGCTAATGGGCTAATAAGCAAGAGGTACTCTCTCCGGTCTAGGTTTCAATAACTTCCTTATGAGTATAAGCAATGCAAATAGTTTAAAGATAGCAGTTGACTAATAAGGATATAAAAGTTCAATGAACCATAGCCTCCTAGGGGTTTTGGGGTTTTGGGGTTTTGGGGTTTTGGGGTTTTGGGG